GACACACAGTCCACAAGAATAAATGACCAGATGTGGCTAAAATTACAAAATAGACATGGACACATAGTCTACGAGGGTAACTAACTAGATGTGATTGAAACCATGAAACAGATATAGGTACTAGACCCACGAATAACAAACATGAGAATAGAGCTCACGAAAATGAACTAGCTAATCATTGACCAAGGTGCACCAAAGGCTAACAGAACTGCCATTAACAACCAATGTTTTGCTTAGAGTCCTCTAAAATTATTTTTCAAACATGCAAGAAGAATAGTCGCTTTTGAAATACAATTTACATTCTCAATATTAGACTCGCATGAATCATTTCAAACTTCAATTCAATACTTGTCAAAATAAAATTTTATAATTAGTGTGCGCTATTATATTCAACAGATAACCAAAATTCTCCAAAGCTAATCAAAATAATTTCATAAATCTTGAAAATATAACTCAGGGAAAGTACATGTACATTCCATAACTCAATTATTCCTTGCGCACAACTTTTATATTTTCAAACAATAAAATAATTAAATTAACAACGTATCCAACACTTATCATAGTAATTAAAAATAATCCACATAAAAATGTAATATTTCAATAGAAGATATTTTTTATGTAGACTAACTGAGATGTTATTCACTACCTGTATAGTTTTCAAGTATATAACTTACATCCAAATTAGTCTCCTAATGACAATGCTTTGTCCTTAAATTCCTAACATTCAAATAATGTCGTTGTCATTCCCTCAAACATGCTTTATCATTTAAAATCTCTAATCCAAAACAACTCAGAGAAATAAAAGAAAGAAAAATCTTCACTTTTATCTTTCTCAATGTTGCATCAAACATCCCAAAGAAAAATATACAAATAGTGATTTGATTCTTAAATTACTAACTTAAATATCTTGCCAAACAAAAACAAAAAACAAAACTCAAATTTCAACTTTGACTTCCATTGCAAAGCATAAATGCTTTTTAGTATTATTTAATCAATAGTGACATATCTATCAAATATATTTTGCCCACTTAAATTCCAAAATTTTCCTTTTTAAACATTTATCAAACATCCTTTATTTTACACAGTGTCTAATCCATAAGACCACGTTCTTGTTCTTCTTCAATTAATTTCAAGGGTTGTCCTAAATCAATATTTGAACTAATCAAAATTCCATCTTCTATCTAAGAGAATTGTCTTCCAAAAATTTTCTAATTAAAATTAAATTATCACATGTATCTAATCATTATATGCCAATTCTTCTAATAGGAATTTAATCGAGCACTTACAAGCATAGTTTTTTTTTAATTTATAATTCCAATCCAATCTTCTCTTCAAATCCATTCCAACAGCTTCCAATATAAATTTCAAATAAAAATATCATCTAAACCCATTTTCTTTACCATGGCTATATGTTTAAATCAAAATAGCTATCTAATGCTCTAAATACTTAAAGATTGCTAAATTAATGTTTTCCATTCTTCCTTCTAATTGTACAACCGCTACAACAAATGTGAACATCAAAATTCCATTTACAAAGCAAGCTCAACAATATGCACTCAGCCTAAAAAGAAGAAAAATGGATTCAACTCACAAAAAATCAAATTAATCAATTTTGATTAAAATGGATTCAAATTCAGCTTAAATCAATTTGTATTCCCACTCAAACATTCATAACAGCAAAAAGGAAAATAAATCATTACTTCAATCATAAAACATACACACCCACATACATAGCACAAGAAAAAGAGGACTTGAAGCTTCCATACCTTAAAGCAAGAATGATAGAGAAAAGGGAAGGAGGAACCGAAGCTTATGGCTGAATAGGGAAATGAATTGGGCATGCCGCAAAAAAAAGAGAGCAAAACAAGCAAAACAAGACCAAGAAGCAGAAAGACTCATAAGTAGTACCTTAGCCTTGGTGATTTAGCTCTCATGTGTTAGCTCCTACACACCAGTAATGACACAACCATGAGTGGAGGAGGTATAATAGAAAAATAAGAAGATGAAACAAAGGTGGGGAGGACAGTGGAGGACTTAACCTTTGCAAGGTAGCAATGAGCGCCCACAATCGTTGGTGATAAGGATAGAATGGCAAAGAGGAAGGTGAAGTCAGGAATCATAGGATGAAGGACCAGAAGCTTCTCTCCCTTTCTTTCTAGTATGGAACATGATTGAATAAGTGAGATGAGAGGAAAAAAAAATCTGATGGCATAAGGGTATTTGGTAATTTTAGAAGCTCAAATAATCAACATACAAAAAATGAATTCCTTACTTTGAGCCTCTAGGAATCAAATATGAGACTTGATTGGTAAGATGTGGGGTTAATTTCCACTAGACTAGTTCTCCTTCTTAATAAATTTGCTCTAAAATTAATATAAATATATCAAGATAAATTATTATAGATTTTTAATTTTACTTAAAATTTTGGGTTGGCGTATGTTTTCCTAACCCACCTAACCACTATTAGGCTTAAAAGACTACTCTCTCTATGACTATTAAGATTTCATACTCTTTACTACACATAGGAGCTCCTTTATTACATCTATCTTAGACCCCCTAAAGCATTTTTCACTAGTTGGTGGGTGCCATAATTAAAGACATCATTTATGGTTTTCTTCATAAGTTAGCTTAACTCTTTTTTGCTTCTATCTCTATGCACTTTTGTTGTAGTTTGAATTCTCTTAATGTTGATGATTACAAGATTTAAGAAAGATGCGACTTTAGTGGCCCAAATTAAAGTAACCATTTCTACTCCTTTTGGACTTTCCCCTCTTTCCTTGTCCTTGGCTGAACACAATGATTATCTAGAGGATGAATCCTAGGGAGGCCAACTAGAGGGCACTAAGAACTAGGACAACTTAAGGTCTAGTAAATATCCTTAAGGAGGTGAAGAAGAGGCAGAAGAAGAAGAAAAAGAGAGTCATATGTACCTCCCGAATAGCATAGGCCAATAAACATATGGCCTACATCTTATGGTCCTCTTCTAAGCCTCTTGTAAACTCTTTGGGTAAGCAGCCTACCACTAGCAAAACCCCAATCCCAGAGGCCCTTTAAAAGGTTAAGTTCCTCTAGGGCTTCAACAATAGCTATGTTATCCCCCATTTAAATTGACAATGAATCTTGAAAGGAGTTTAAAAGCTTGTGTTCGTAGCATTGTCGCAAGTCTTCGGGTTCCTCGACCTAGTTAGGGGGAACTAAGGAAGAGAGGAGAAAAAGGCCTTTAAGAGTTCAAGTCATAGTCTTGATCCATGGATTTGAATTTTCTATCACCAACTTTAGGACTCTAACTTTCTCATCCATAACCTAGCACTTCCCATTCTCAACCATCATCTACCACTTACATAAGTATTGTTTATACTTTGTCTTTCTTGGTATACTAGGCGATATTGTTCTCCATTAATTAACACTAGGTTTTAACACTGGATTTACTATTTTGGATGCAGTTATTACAAATGCCACCCTGTAAGTTTTCCATTCCAATAAATTCTCTGATTCTTTCGTTGGCTTGAATTGTTGATTTTTTGTTTAGATAAGCAAGATGCTTTTGGTGATGATTTTTTTGCATGTAGGAATATTTGGAGATAACCCTTCCAATTTTGCTACTCTAGTTGACTTCTTGACCATATAGTTAGTCCTTAAAGTGCAATCATCCAATAAACAGAACAACTACCAGCATCTAAAGAGGCCATTAACTCGATTTAGATACTCCTTGAACTGGATATGCCTATTCTTTTGTGAATCCAAGGGATGGGCTCTTCCATATCCTAGGTGCTTTATGCAAGTAGATTTCCCTAAGATTAATCAAATGATGGGCGATTGTCTAGACTGATCAATTGCAAAGCCTAACAAGACTAGCTACTAGAGGTAGTTGAGAAGGCTAAGGTCGATGTGAGAGGAACCTTCTCGAGATGAGGAGCATTAAGGGAAAGAAAAGTGTGATCTACAACAAGATGAATTTTCATCCTACATGCGTACACAAGATAGAGAGAGAAAGTGAATAGAGGAGAGAGAGGGGAGAGGGAGAAGGAGGGAGAGTGAGAGTGTATAAGTTTTATCATATACAAATATAGAAAATGGTGGACCAAAATAGAAATTAGGTACGTGGATGGCAAGGTGACGAGGCAGTGCATCTTAAATGTTCAGGGACAAAAATTACTCTAGATTAGGAGTACCCGCAGACCCTAAGAGAAAAGTTCATGAGCAAAAATGACCTTTAACCAAATATTATTTTATTAAAGACATATTTAAAAATTTAAATTGTGGGACCCATATAATAGCCATTAAGTGCGTTGATGACAAGTGACGAGGCAACTGATTTCAAATGTTCAGGGGCAAAAATGACCCACAATCAAGTTCAGAGTATCTGCACATCCTAAGGAAAAAGTTCATGGGGGGGGAGAATGACTTTTAATTCAAAAATATTCAACAAATTAAATGAGATTTTTCATTCAATTTAATTTGTATAAAATTAAATTCCCTCCTCTCTCTCACTGACATTCTTCAATGATCAATTGTTGCATTTCCTTTATTAAGAAGTAGATAAAAATTAATTCCATGCTATATATATATGATTATGAACCATAACATCATTAGTCAATTAATAATTTAACAAAAAACTTGATAAAGTATGAATTTGATTAATGCATCTCAATCGACAAGAGTTGGATTAGTAAAAACAACTAGTCATTCATAACATGGTGAACTAAAGTTCATTTCCTTTATAAAAGAGGTGTTTACATTTAATATCTTATTTTATTTTAAGTATGATTGCTTTCAATATGATAACACCTGTATATAACAAACAAAAAAAAAAGATTAATGCGTCGCAAGAAGTACACAAGTAGTAATTTAATTTGTTTCAAAAGAACCTGTGAAGTACAATTCATGATTATCTCTACCTTACAAATACATTTCAAATAAATAACGTTCATCATCCAGTCAATTAAAAATATTTTATATTATTATTAATTTGATTTCATTGATCATATCTTATGCAATATTTAATCTGCCTCGATTAATTCCAATAGATTGTAAGGAGAGCATGAAGTTCCTTTGAAACAATCCCATGCTGCAATCTCATGTGAGGCTTCAGTTTGATGGCCAAATCTGTCGAATTGATTGTACTTTGATCTATCAGGACAAAGTGTTTTACTCTCGTGGTTATAGCAAGGTACACCTACGTGTGTGAATCCTGTATATGCCCAACAAAAAAAAAAAAAAGAAAAAGAAAAAGCAATGAGTACTTTGAAAATAATAAATTGAAATGATTTTATTCATATTTTAACATTCAAAGAATTAATGAATAATAAGGCTTTTAATCTCTTAAGTTTATTTTAATTATCAATTTAATCTCTCAAATTTAATTTTTATCGATTTGGTTTCTAAAATTTGCCTTAGTAATGGATTTGTTCCTTATTTTTGAGGAAAAAAAGATAACACTCTAAAATCTGTTAATATGGATAATGAAATTTTGATGAAAGCTATGCAAACTAATAAAAAAAATATAATTATTTAACAACAGACTCAATTTTTAAAAAACAAAAGAATAAAGGAAAACTTGCAAATAGGTCATATATAAAAAACTTATTTATAAATAAGTCTCATGAATTTGTAAAATTACACTAAGGTTTTATGAAACTTAGTTGTAATTAATTTAATTTATTATGTAAAATGACACAAACACCAATTGACTTTCACCCCTTTAACTAGCATTGATTGGCATTGACCAACTACTTACGGTCATTGATAGATGGTTAATGATTGTTGACTAGTTAAAAATAATTTTTTAAAGTAAACAATTTTCTTAAATTATTAATACTTTAATGTTTACAAGTCAAACATCACATACTACTAGATAAATATCTCAGATTTACAAGTAAACTTCTTGCATATAAATTAAAGCTCACAAATTTATAAGTTAGACTTATAAATTAGGATGTTTAACTTGTAAATTTGTAAAGTTGACTTATAAATTAACATGTTTAACTTATATTAAGTTGACTTGTAAATGTAAGGAGTTCGAACTATAAATATTAAAAAGTTACTCGTATGTCTATAATGTTTGACTTGTTAATATTAAAATATAAATAATTCAATAAACTGTTTTTTAAAAAAACATTATTTTATGACCAATCAACGCTACCCAGTGACCGATCAAAAGCTGCACATGGTCAATCAATCCCAGTCAACACCAATTAAAGGGATGAGGTTTCAAGGGCATTTGTGTCATTTTTCATAGTAAATTCATTACAACCAAGTCTTATGAGACTTGAGTGTAGTTTTACTAATTCATGAGACTTATTTATAAATAAATTTTTTATATGAGACTCATTTGTAATTTTCTCAACAATAAAATATTATAGCATAGCATAATTGATTATATTGATGAAAATTAAACTATTTTAAGGGCTAATTTATTTTCATTTAACTACATATACATGTTAAATTATTAATATATTTTACACATTAGATTAATTTGAAAGTCGATATATATTTTAAAAATTAAAGAATTAATCTAATAATTTAAGAAAATAAAAGGTATTAAATTAATAAAAATTAAATTTAAAAGACTAATTGATAATTGAGATAAATTTTACGGACTAAAAATTTCATCATTCAGTTGGTTTACTCACCAAATTCATCTGGATGTTGATAAACCCTTCCAAGTATTTCGTATCCATCAAATACTGTAAACTCGAAGCCAGTGAGACCATTGTCTTTTAAGCCTTCAAGCCTACCTGGAAGCTTATCTGCATAATATCTGTTTCCACATCCTGCTGATAGGTTATAATAATGTGGTGGACAAACTGAAAGGCTTGATACCACAAACTTTCTTGCTCCAAGATCATAAATTTTCTGAAAATGAGTCAAAAGAAAAAATGTTTTGTGATTATGCATGTACACGCAATTGCAGAACTAGATAAGGTTATACATATATGTGTGTGTGTGTGTGTGTGTATATATATATATCATATTGTTGCAGCATATACACTGAAACTTTATAGGGAGAGTGTCATCAAAGGCCCACACAAGAAAGATAATTGCCGCGGGCCCATATAATTATGAAGTTATTCTTCAGGCCCATATAATTGATATGACATTGTCTTTGGATAAGTTAGAACACGGTGTTCAGATGTTTACAACAAGATATTGGAATTTTGACAATTAATTTTCTTCTAGATCATCTTCATATATTGAAAATTCCATGTTAACTTAAGGGTTAAATGGAAAATTAGCCTCTAAATTATAATGTAGGAGTATTTGGGGCTCTAAACTCCTTTTTAATACAATATTTCCCTTTAATATTTTAAAGCAGTGCAATATTATCTTTACCATTAATAAATGTTAACTTTAATTGTCTATAATTTTTGGGTTATTTTTATAAATTATTTTATCTTTTTTTAATAATTTTTTAGGTCTTTATATATATATTGTTAACTAATGATTAAATTTAATAGTAAGATGACATTGCATTATTTTTAAAGTTAAATATAAATGTTGCATTAAAAAAAGTTTAGAATTGTAGATGCTTTTGTTTATAGTTTAAGGGTGAAATAATTTCCCTTTTAACCCTTAACAATAAACAAGTACAATTATGTAATTGACAACAACATATTCTGATTTAACAAGTCAATCTTTGGTTTGATCTGGTCGAATTTTTAAAATAAAATTTCAATTTATCCTAAAAATGTAACAATTAACCAGATAAGGTTATATATATAGCACATCGTTGCAGCATACATATACACTGAAACCTTAAAAAGCTTTAACAATACATCTGGAACGAACCTTCATTTGTGTCGTGATTTCGTCAAGGAGAATATCTGATAATTGTTCGTAAGTCATTTTGGCTGTGAGATTACCATTCACTTGAGGATTGAAATCATTATTGCCAATGAAGAACACGAATATGGATTTGCCGAGGTGTTCACTTAATTCCTCTTCATCGTTTATTGCTTTGGGAAGATCTTGTGTTGCAGTTAAAGTGAAGTACTCGACTTGTTTTGTGAGACACAAACATTCTCCCTGAAACAAATTAAAAAGTCAATTTTAGAAGATAATGATCAGAGATAGATTAATGATAAGCATATAACATTCAAGAGATGAAACTAAACTAATTATATAAATGCAAGATGAAATTTTTTTCAAGCTTCATCATCTTAATTAATTACCATTCCGGTTGTGTTCAAGATTCCACACGATGCTGAAGCGTAGTTTATGCCGGTAACTATTTGACTTCTTTGATCTTCTGAGAGACTTAAGTATGCAGGAGCCATTGGTAAACCCAAATAAGTAGCTTTGGCAAGTAAGAAAGATTAAAACACCATAAGTATGTTTTACTCGAGTAACTTCTAAAAAAAAAAACAAAAACAAAAACAAAACAAAACAATTACTGCTATTCAATTTAATGTCATAAGATAGATACAAAAATGCATTCCTTGAATAGCAGAGTCAATAAAATCTTGGGATAGTTGTGAAACCTATCACAATTTTGATGTTATATATGCCCACAATTGCAGTAATCATTATAAATTTACCATTTTAAAGTGAATAAGATTAAAAGGTATTTTCACCATAAATTATTTCGCCAGTAGTAGTACTGGTATCCTAAACTATTTATGAAAACAATGTCACTCCTCAAGTGTTAAAAGCATCACAATATTTCTCTGACGTTGTTCTGTTAACTTTATATTGATTTGGGTTAAGAAGTATTTTGTGCCTGGAGTATTCATGGAGGAGTAACCAACAACTGACAATAATATCACATATTATATATATCTATTTATACTGTTATAGGTTATATAGGTATGTTCATTTGTTAGTCCTATAAGTAGTCTGGATAGACATGTATAATCTAGTACAAAACCATCAATTTATAGTTGGTGTAGGATGACAAACATATATACATCTTTTTCACCGATAAGTCCTTAGTTAGGAAGCGAAATGGTATCCATTTTATCCTCCAAATTTTTTAACTAAAATAGGTGGATCATGTTTTGATGTTGACATTAATGCAGGCTGAAACAACTTTTTCTTGACCGACAAGTATCTAGTTAGCAAGTCATGATCATAGACATATATAACTTGTGACGTTACTAATTGATTGTGAATCCAGGTTTATAAACTTTTTTATACAAATGAATACTTAGCAAAATATGACACCTTAAACATGATGATGATGCGTGCAGGTTTCAATGAAAAAATAGGGGTGCCAATTGCTCTACATGATTAAACTTGAATTTAGAGTGCTAGTTACTCTTCCATGAATACTTTAGGGGAAAAATATGCTTTGACTCAGAGTCAATATAAAGTTAATGATCGATGTTAATGTCTATTAGTCAAGTAAGCAACATTGTAACAATTTTAATACTTGAGGAGTGTCATTGTTTTAATATATAGTTTGGAATACCCGGTGCTTTTCACAAATAGTTGACAGGTAAAATGCCTTTTAACCCAATAAATAATTGTATTAATAAGTGAATTCCTAAATTATAAGGAGTTTAAGGAATAATTATAGGTACTGTTAATTTCTTATGAATGATGTGACATATATGTCATATGTAGGTTATATATATATATATATATATATTATATTGATGTTGATTTGATCCGTATTGGTTGATTTGCGTAAAATCTTACCAAGAAAGTCAACTGAAACTTTGCCGTTACTGAATCGACCCGTTGCATTATTATTGTCAACACCATAAGGCCAAACTGCTTTTGCTTTTGAATTCAGATAATCGTTATTTCCAACATCGGCAGTTGAATCTCCAAAAACATAAATTGCAGGTATCAAAGCATGGTCACTTGCAGAATATTCTTCCAAATGATTAGACGTAACAAGGGAAAAAGCCAGGAAAAAGAAGAACAATAATATTGATTTTGACATATTGGTCTTCTTCTTCTTGAATATGAAAAGCTTCAAAATCAGTTATTTATAATAGTGTTTGTTGGTGAGGCATGAGAAAATATAGGGAAATTAAACTACAAATATTTTTGGAAAAGGCGACAATAACTTGCTTTATTTAGAAATAATGATGAAGATAATTAGTTGGATCCAACTATAATCCAATATAATAAAACTCACTTGGTGGTCTTTCAGTTATTCTAGAATAGAATGGATTTTCAGCCTCGACAAATAGTAAAAAAGACGTTCTTGTAATGTTGTTGTTCCTTAATTTTACATTTTGGAACACCATTTAAAGCAAAGTCATATATTGTTGTTATTGATTTAGTTATGTTTTTCACTTTAGACCATGTGAAATTATTTGGTTGTAGGTTATCTTATATCTGGTTTTTCGGACATTATATATATTCTTAAAAGGAAAAAGATCAAAATTGTAGTTTTGATGAGAGAAGCATATGCCACAATCAGAACAGACAACATATATAGGCTTAGCAAGAAAATTATGAGATTGGTCTTTTTAAGGATGAATGAAAAATTACAAATTTCTTTATTCTAATGTTTTTTTTGGTTATGGTTAGAGTATATAAGAAAAGTTATATACTCGATTTTCATTTGAACCCCTAGACTTTTATTCATGCCATATCTAACACTTACGACTGAGCTAGTCTTAGGTGACTTTTATAAGATACCTTTTAAGTTGAGTTTAATATATATATATATATATATATTCTACTGCTATGTTGAGGTTTTGGATATATATTTAAAAAATTCAGAAGTACAGAAGTACGTTATAAAGGGTCGTTAGCTTCCAAAATAATTATTTAATATGTGCTCAATTTTCACTATTTGAAAAACAAACATATCGTATCATCAAGATGTAATTTATTTTAATTGGAAGATTTAAGGTTACAATCAGCTCACCCAACAAATCCAGCTAAAAATTTTAAAAAAAATTGTTGCCGTTACCTTACAAGCTTGCAAAGCGAACTAGTCTAGGTAGAGAAAGCTACTTCTGGATGTTGTCTTGTATTCCTTAACTGTGAAGATCTTTTATATTATATTGGGTTGAGTTTTTGTGCGAGATTACCAGAAAAACCATTGATAGGGCTAGCGTTGAATTAAGAGAAAAGTTTGAGGTAAGTTTCTTGTGGAATTCTAAGAAGTTTTTGAACGAACTGTGGAAAACTCTATAGTTGAAAAATGAGCTAAGAATAGAAAACTTCATTTTCACTACTCTTATGACTGGAAAAATCTTTCGACTAATTATATCAACTTAGGGAATTCCATATAGATAATATAGAAAGCTAAATCAAGATAATTTATATTTTTTTTACCATGTCAACACTTAATCTATAATTTTCTCTCTTCTTTCACTCTCCTATCTGTTTTCCAGTTACTGACATTTTTTAAGGCTAAAAGACCAAATTGGTTTTTAAATTATAAGTCTTGGAGCATTTGGGACCCCAAACTCATTTTAGGTAGAATGTTTTCCTTCAATTTTTAAAAATGATGCAATATAGCTTTTACAATTAACAAAAGTTAACTTTGATGGTTAATTGACTAAAAAATAATAGAAAAGGACACCAAAAAAAAACTTTGTTCATCCTTTTCTTTATTTTTTGATGTCCTTTTCAATGATTTTTTGGTCAGCTAGCGGTCAAAGTTAACTTTCATTAATGGTAGGGGCTAGATTATATTATATCATTTTAAAAAATTAAAGGAAAACATTGTATCAAAAATAAATTTAAAGTCTTAAATGCACCTAAACCCATAATTTAGAGATTAATTTGCTTTTTTACCCTTTTTTTTCAACTACAAGCTGCCTACCTATGATTTTACATTTTACTATTTTGAAACTGCAATATAATTTTCAATTTTGTAATGAATACTAGATGGTTAATTTGTTGCCCAAATATAAAAGGGAGAATCACACTACAGGCCCTAAAACAAGAAAAAATTTTACTTTGGACCCAATATTACACTGCTGGTCCAAAGGTCTTTGTTGCAATTTTTCTTGAGAGAAAAAATATAATTTGCCTTTATGTAATTTGAAAACTCAAATAATGTACAATACATTGTCTATAAATACACAAAATAATATTCATAAATTATCAACACAATGTCTATACATATCTAATTGATCTATAGATTAATTAAAATAAAGTGACATAGAGAATGTACAACACAATGTCCATCGATGCACAATATGATGTTCATTGATGCACGACATGATGTTCATAAATTTTCAATATAATGTCTATGTGTGTCCATGCATGAACATCATGCTATGCATCTATGAACATCATATTGTGTATCTATAGACATTATATATTTTATTAAATCTATTAATTAATTAGACATATATAGACATTGTATTGTGTATCAATGGATATTGTGTTGTGTATGATTTGAGTTTTCAAATCACATAAGGGCAAAATTATACTTTCACTCCCAAGAGAAATTATAACAAGGGTTCTTAGGACTGCAATGCAACAACAAAATATATTGGGCCTGCAGTATAATTTTTTCCTTTTTTGAGGCCTGTAGTGTGATTCTCCCATTATAAAACTACCACTCAATCTTCATTTTGACGTCACAGAAGGATAGCTATAATTTTATGGTTTGAATTTGATAAAATATTTTGTCGGAAATAGGATATATAGACCAAGATAATAGAATAATTTGATTAATTAGCTTCCATGGTTGCCACAAAATAATGTTACACACACACGCACACAATCTTAAGCAAGATTATTATTCAATTGGAAATGGTCGATGGCCAAACAACTCGAATATATATAATTTAGAATTACATTCAAGTCCCAAATAAAAAAATAAATTAATTTTCAGTACATTTACAAGCCAAACTTCTATATTTCCATGTTAAATTTCAGTATTTGCAATTGGATGAGACTGCTTTGAATAATTAGTTTCTTTATTTATGAAATCTATATATAATTCTCCCAACTTTCAAAGGGAAAATGCATGTTTTCCTTAATTAGGACATCTTATTAATTTATCCTAAAAAATTGTAAAGCCCGTATTTAAAATTAAAATATAAGCCAAAATATATATGTATATATATATATATTATACTTGAATACTGTTAAACTCGAGAGATGATTAATATTAATATTAATATTAATTAATATATATTTAAAATTTGAATATATTAATTAATGTTAGTATATTAATTAATATATATTGCACACTTGGCGCTAAGAAATCTTGATTGTCACCGTAATGACGACAGGCAAGATAGAACTCATAGAAGTCAACACATACCGTTCCATTGAAACGGAACTTTTTGAATAATGGATCCTAGTTGAAGCATTACAAGGTATCTCTAATAATATCTTACTTTAAAAACATACTCCCTCCACCAAAAAATATAAAGCATCTTTTAAAAGATTAAATATTTAAAAATATAAAATATTTTTAATCTTTTAAAATATAATTATTATATTTTTTTAAAAAGTGTCTCTATTAAATAAATTACTTTGTATTTATTTTAGGGTGAAACATTCTATTAAATAAGAGTAAATATAAAAAATATAAGATTAATTTAAAGATAAATAATATTTATAAAATGAAGAGATAAAATTTGATTAAAAATATTTTATATTTTTTAATTGAGAGAGGAAGTGATAACTAAAAAATAAGATTAAATTTGTGGTTTTTGCAACAAGATTCCTAGAAAAAAATTGGGTAAGAACAAATAATGAAAAGACAATGCAATCTAATATTCTCCGTCGTTGGTAAAAAAAAAAAAAAATCTAATATTCTCTGTCAACCTTCAAAGCCAGTGGAATTGACTTTTCAAACTTTTGAATTTTCAGTTTAAGCCTCAGAATATTTCTGACTTTTCAATATCTATCCCCTATAAATCCTTTGGGAAAGGACACGGACCCACTCTGCAGAGGAGACTTCGTGTTGCCTTCCCGACGCCCCCCCCCCACCAAAAAAAATGTATAAAAAAATAATAAAAGCATAGCTTTGAAAAATCTTTTAATTTCACACAAATTTTATTAAAGCACATTTTTACTCTTAAATTATTTATTAAGGAGCACCCAGTGTTTTAAAGGATTCCCATTCCGTGCTCATCACTTAGAAGGTGATCCCAGCCCTTCATTTTTTCTCAAAATGATCTCTACTTTTTAATTTTAAATTAATTTTTAAATATTTTAAATATTATATTTGTGAAAAAAATTGTAAAAAATTATTATTAAATTTTGAGTGTCTAAAAATATATCTAGATAATCAATTTATAAAATTTATAAAAAAATTAATATTAAATTGGAGCATTCAGATTATATCTAGACTGTCTAGAATATATCTGAACAGTCAATTTATAAAAGATATAAAAAATTTATATTAAATTGAATCATCTAGATTAAATATAAACTAATAAGATTGATTATCAAGAGATTTATTATTTGATCTTTTTTATGCATTTTTATTTTGATTAATATAAAATAAAAATAAAAAATTAAATCTAGATTGTTCAGATCATATCAGGTGTGATGTGTATGATAGTGCTCATCATGTAATGAGCATCAAGAGCAGTCCAGATTTAATATTAAAAATTTCTACAATTTTTATTTTCACAAATATAATATTTAAAATATTTTAAAATTAATTTAAAATTAAGGGCAGAGATCATTTTGGGAGAAAATGAAGGGCTGGGATCACCTTGTGGGTGATGAGCACAGAATGTGAATTATTAGTTGTAGTAATGTTGTCCTTCAACTAAATAAAATGGAGCATTTAGTAATGTTGGCCCTACCTTTTAAAAACATAAACATTTATCTTATTTTTATATTATTTTATAAATAATAAAAATAAATTTGGGTATTTGAGTTGAGGCTATTTGAGTTCGGACTTGACTCGAAATTTCTTCCAGCAATCTGAAAAAGTTTAAAGTGAAAAAATTTCTAAACATTTAAGTCTGGCCTTAAAAATTTTGTAATTTATTTGGATTTGTTTGAATATCCAAATTTTGCACGTAGAAACATTCAAAGAAACCTTGCTACTGGCTATATTGCAATTGCTTTAAATAATTCTGCAATAACAAAAATATACGAGAATGGTCATTTTCTAACAAAACGAATAGATTTAAGCCTTATACCAGACTAGGTTCAGATTATAAGATTGTGAGATGACTGATGAAATGATAAGATCTTAATCAAAATTCAAATATTCCTGATTTAATACTCTATGCAAATAAGTTAGATGACATATAAACAAATCATGAAACAATAAATATTTTATAATTTATAAATTTATTTTACATTTTAAGATTTTTTATTTATCAATTGCTTTTTGTCTACTTTTTTGAAAGATTGTAATTTTAAGTTTTATATTTACCCTAAAAATATCAAATTAATCACAAAATATTTACAAGAAAATACAGGTCTATTTTTATCATTATACATCTCAACTGACTTTTAAATTAAATTATCCAAATAAATTTTAATTTGTTCAATTGACTTAAAAAATGTATCTAAATATAAATCATGTCACAATTGCAAGATTTTATCCTAACTTTAGTTTCTTAACGTCAATTGCAGATTTTTTTAAAATAAAAGCCACACCATTATATGACTAGAGTCTGTAGATATATTTTAGGGAGAACATAATCATTTATCTCTATAGATTTATCTAGTTTTGTTTCTAATCCATGTTATTTTTTTTAATATTTTCAATCCTTATAATTTCTAAAATTTAATATTATTAGAAACTTGAGAAATAAATGTCATTCAATCTTATTAAAATTATAAAGATTTAAAATATTAAAAAACTTATAGGATTAAAATAAAAACCGGATAAAATTATAAAAGCCAATGATTATATGTTTTTCATATACTTTTTTATTTTAGCTATGCTGTAAAAAAATCTTCAGCGAGAAAAATTCCTGCTTACGTTATTGACACGTTTCAACACAACATTCCCAAGCAAAGATACTAAATTTTCAAGTACTATTCGCAGAACCCAGAAGATTCACCGTCGCTTTATTTGACTTCTAAGCAGGCTTGAATCGATCTTTTGCAACTTATGCAAGAAACAGCCGAACCAATTCTCATCTCCATCATCAAATTCTTATATATAAAGGCTTGATTTCTGTAACTTTTGGTAGCTGATGGACACAAAAACAACTACGACTTGCAATCTTATACCTGACATAAATTACCAAACTTATTCATCCCAAAGGCTATGAATAATACGGATCGAAGCCTTTTACTTCTTTTTTCTGCTGCGTTCACTTCCATTCTCCTTCTCAATTGCTTCACAGGAGTTGCAGCTGATAGCAGTAATGGTATCAATTTTGATGTTGGAGCAATTCTTGATGTTGATTCTCCATCTGGAAAACAACAGAAAGCAGCCATGGAAATTGCAGCCCAAAGCTTCAATAACTATTCAAAGAGTCTCAACATATCCCTTCATTTTCGTCACTCTCTAAGAAATCCATTGCAGGCAGCTTCGGCTGGTGAGTATTATATATATTTTATTTATATTATGTTCATAATAATGAATTAAAATTTTTTTACATTTAAGCATGTTTGAGGATAATAAATGATGCCTTAATTAGTTGTGTTGGCACTCAATTAAATTGGAAGTGACATAATATAATTTAGCTAATTCTAGCTTATCATTCTTTTCAATGAGCAATTTAGGTATTATATAAACATAAATTGCAGCAAATCATTCAATATAAATTTAGTCTAATTCAAGATTCAAAATATTTACAATCTAAAAATAAATTGTATTCAAGTATTACAACTTAAAATTACTTAAATAATTTTAAGTTCTTGAATTAAAAAGATAAATGAAAAATCAATCCCCTATAATTAAGTGTAAATTCTAGGCTCAAGCACTCATGATTTTTTTTTCTTCCTCCAAGCTTACTGTAAATCACGGCCATGGGAAATAATGGAAAATGGATGAATTGTTGATGTGTAAAGGCGGGGTGAAGCTGCGTGAAATTGGATGGAAAATGGATGAAAGGACAAAGAAATTGATGAATGATTGGATGACAATTCACGTGGCTGGGGATGGATAAGTGGAAATTAAAGGAGAGAAAAAGTAAACTGTGTGGTGCGCGCGCGTGAAATAAACAAATGGAAAGAGGAAATGAAATTTGATGGATGAATCAATGGTACCAACGAACAAAAAAATCAAATCAAACTAAAGAGCAATTTTTAAACAGATAAGGTACATCTAAATTCTAAATAAAATATTATATAATATTATTTTAATTAATTTTATTCTCATAACAAAATTCATATTTAATTTTGAGTATTCTCTCCCTATTATTATTAATATAATTAATTTATATCTATTGCTGCCTCATGTTTTGATGAAATAACATAGTATGTTAAATTTATCTAAGAATTTCCTCCAAAGCTTATTTATAATCAATTTTCACATATTTATGTTGGTTTGGTTCAGTTTGATAAGGAAGTGAGAGATTTGAGAAAAATAATTCAAGGGCTAGAAGAGAGGGCTGGGGAGTAGACTTTTTAAAAAAATCTTAACTATTAAATTCAAAAAGAGCTAATGAAAAAATACATAAAAAAGAAAAGACAAATTCCCATGATTTTCTTTGTTATGATTTTCCATAATATCTTTAATGAATCTAAAATATCTTTCAAAGCCTTAACCATTATATGTCTTTTGAAATTCAAAAATTAATCTTTGCCATTGAATTTTATTCATTGTCCTTCTATAACCTGAAAAGTCTAAATAAATCTATTGGTATAAATTATGTCCAAGGTAAATCTCATATCTCATGAAATATTTTCATATTAATTTTTTCAACAATTATAATTTTCTCACAAAATGGCCTAAAACTCAAATAATTGTCAAATTATAGATTGACAAAATTAAGCCATGTTAAAAATAAGAAAAGTAAAATATTAACAATTTATTCCCAAAATTCTCATAATTAATGCCAAAATATATCATTAATCCAAAATGGCTAATAATTCAAATAATATCCAATAAACCTAAATTAGCCTAAAATTATTATTAAAATGCATGGAAAATGTGACATAATATATATAAAAAAATCATGATTTGTCAGTAATCTATTTCAAAATTTATAAACTCCTAATTTATTTTCTAATTATTATTAGATGTGAGACTTCTTTATCATTAATATTTTCCTACTACTTTTTTTTTTGCCTTTTCCTTGCCTGAATTTGTATTTTTTTTTTGTAGCCTTAAGTCCATCATCTTACATTTTTTCCTCTCTCACTCTCTCTCTTCTCTTTTTAATCTCTTGTTTTTTTCCCTTCTTTTTTGCCAGTTTTTTTTTTTTTCCCTTTGTTCGTGTCCCTATATTGGGTGGCTCTTAATACCAATGCAAAATTCTCACCAACATAGCTTAAATCTCAAGCTCTATATATTTCTAATATAATTTCAAATTATTACATGTGAAGCTTCTTTATCTCTAACAACGAGCGAATCACCTGCAATTACTTTGTTTTCCAGCTGAGGAGCTCATAAACAAGACGAAAGTGAAGGTTATAATTGGAATGGAGACATGGCCGGAAGCATCTTTTGTAGCAGTTCTTGGAGATAAAGCTCATGTTCCAGTAATTTCATTCTCATCTCCTTCAATATCTTCACCATCTTCATCAATGCCATTTCGTTGGCCTTTCTTGATTCAAATGGCCAAGAACCAGACAGCAAATATGAACTGCATAGCTGATATTGTTCATGCATATAACTGGCAAAAGGTTATAGCAATATATGAAGATGATCCTTATAGTACTGATTCAAGCATGTTAACCCTCCTTTCTGAAGCTCTCTTGAAGACTAATTCCCAAATTGAGCGAAGGCTCATCCTTCCACCATTTTCTTCTTTATCTGATCCAAAAGGGCTTGTTCTTGATGAACTGATAAAGCTATTATTATCAGCACAATCTAGGGTTTTCATTGTTCTCAAAGCATCATTGCCTATGGTGACTCATTTGTTTAGCGAAGCTAAGAAACTAGGGTTCCTAGGGAAAGAATCAGTTTGGATTATCAATGAGGACATTGCTGGAATGCTGGACTTAGTCGACGAGTCTGTCTTATCCTCCATGGAAGGTACTATTGGAATCAAAAGCTACTATTCTACAAGTTCAAGTGCTTATATTCAATTCATAGAAAAATTTCAAAACAAGTCTCAGCCAGGATTGTATGCCCTGCAAGCTTATGATAGCATGAGTATCATCACAAAAGCCCTAGAGAAGATGAGTGACACTAATAACACTTATAACTCAAGGGTTTTGTTGAAGACAATGCTATCTAGCAAATTCTCTGGTTTAACTGGCAACATAGGGTTCAAGGAAGGCCATTTATCACAGACTCCATTGCTAAGAGTGATAAACGTGGTTAACAAGAAATACACAGGCCTGGACTTTTGGGTACCAAACTTGAAGTTCTTTAAGTCTTTGGAAGACATAGAGAAAGGAAGTGAAACTGCTACAAATAATCTGAGTGGTCCAGTGGTTTGGCCAGGAGTTCTAAAGAATCTAAACAATGATGATGATGATGATAATGTTCCAAGAGGATGGAATATACCTTCAGAAGTGAATCCTTTAAAAGTAGCAGTTCCTACAAATCCTGCTTTTGAAAATTATGTGAAGGAAGAGTCTCCTGGGAAATATAGTGGCCTTTGTATTGATCTTTTTGAAAAGATTCAAGAACAGATCAAAGATAGGTATTCTGGTCTGCCATATAAATATTACCCCCTCGATGTATCTTATGATGTGCTTATACAAGGTGTTGCCAACGAGGTAAAATCTCAACCCTGTGTATATATTTTTTTTCCCCGTATTTAACTATATATGAAATGCTAGCTAGTACATGCATATCATTTCCTACTATTAATTCAATCATTAATTAGATATATCTAGTTGCGAATGTATGAACTCAGATAATATTGCTGCTGACTTTTTCAACAATTTTCTCTCTCATTAGACCTTTTTTTCTTTAAGGAGAATACATGGAACCAGTTTCATTGCTTTTCTGATCATTATACAAATGAGCATTGAGAGCTCATCATCTTTAGATCATTCAAATATAATTTTCATAATCTATATTTATAGTTTTTCAACAGGTGCTTTTTAAATAAAAAATTATTTCTTAAAAGATTGACAACTAAGATATTGTCTTTATTTTAGACTCTATATTCATTAAAATAATTTTTTTAAAATAAAAGTAAAAATTTGTAAACCTTGACCCTTTAAATTAGATTTAAATGGTCTAAAGGAGATAAGCTCTTAGTATTAACCTGTATGATGAGCACTGAAATTGGTTTTAGGAATACACTTCCTTAGACTTTTCTTCATTTTAACTTAGACCTGGTCCATATAGGGCGGAGGGAAAAAAATTCTTCTTTGATTGCAAAATGCTAAAAATAAATATTTTGAATCTTCTATGAGGGGAAAAGACAAAATTTTGAACAGTCGAATGGTTCATGAAACGTGCATTTATATATATATATATAGTTCTTTTTTTGATAGAATATATACATATATATAGTTTGATTACAAGAAAGAAAAACAGAATACACACACACACACACACACATATATATAGTTCTTTTCTTCTTTGTTAATTTAATATTTTTCCTTAAAATTTTAATTAATCTTTTATATGATTTTCATAACATAACGGTATGTCATCATTCATCAAATTCGAATTAATAATTTTTGAAAATTTTAATTTGACCCCAGTCATTATAACTCTATCAATATGCTTTTGAATTGTAGTCAATTAAGTAGATTATCTGGCTCACTGGCTGAATTAGTCAATTAAGTCCTGAATAAGCAGAATCTTACATTTTAAATTAATTAAAGTTGAGATGTGATTAGTTGTCAATGGGGGGGAAAAACTAACCTATTGGTTTGCACTGAATTATGACAGTCCTATGATGCTATTGTTGGAGACGTAACAATACTTGAAGATCGATCTAAGAATGTATCTTTCACACAGCCATACACAGACTCTGGTCTATCACTCATATTTCCAGCTGAGACGGAAGGCACGACGTTTCTGTTTGTGAAGCCATTTAGCTGGCAAATGTGGTTGGCCACTGCTGCTATCTTCTTCTACACAACGCTGGCCATCTGGTTCTTGGAGCATCCCTTAAACCCTTACTATAAAGGAACATGGAAAACTCAACTCAGCAACACAACTTGGTTCGCCTTTTCTTCTCTATTTTTCGCTCACGGTAAGATTCAATTTCCCCAACAGGAAAAAAAAAAAGGCAAGCTTAATGTTGATCTTAACTCTCTTCCCTCTTTTGTTTCGAGTACCATCAATTAATTTATAATTTAAGCGTTGTTCTGTCCAAATAACATTTACATTTCTATTAGACTTAAGATGAAGTCTCACAAGGAGCAATTAAACCATTATGATTAGAGGATTAATCACAATTATCACAATTATATAAGCTTGTGGTGAGTTCTTATGAGGACTAGGGAGAGTACATCTTAAAAGACTAGTTTGTTAAGAGAAAGAGTCCTTAAACATATAAATCTACTCCACTTGTGAGGCTCTTCATGTGAGACTCAAAACAATGTCATCTTGTTCTAGTGCTTATGTCCCTAATAGCTTCAATCCATGACACTTCACTTAACTTCCTACTTACTTGTAACCCTTTAGGCCACTCAATGAATGACACTATTAATTTTATAAGTTTAAAAAGAGAGCCTGTCCTAAAAACCTAGTATATTGATTGGAAGAGCCTTTAAACTTGTAAACCCCAAGTCCCCACTTCACTTGTGAAACTCATAAAATGAGTACATCCAGCTTAACTGTGATTAATACAATATTCTAGTAGTCTTGCAGTATAATTTTTTCCCTCAGTGATGTTAAGGAGAGTATCAAATCCTTCCACTCAATCCAGCCACTAGCCCTTATAACCTTTATTTCCTGAATCACGTTTGACTGATGATTTTGTCTAGCAACGTCTATATCCATTTCCTTAATAACACTAACCAGCATCTTAATTATTATCTTTTAATTTGATGTTCCTCAGGGGGTAAATTGTACAGCAACTCAGCAAGAGTGGTGGTTGCTGTATGGCTATTTCTGATTTTTGTTCTGACTTCAAGCTACACTGCAAATCTGTCTTCTATGCTCACTGTAAAACGCATGAATAATGGGAGAGACATTCAGTGGCTGAAGCAAAATAAGTTAACAATTGGCTGTGATAATAGCAGTCAATTTGTGAAGAACTACTTGCTCAATGTGTATGGATTCCCCATAGACCAGATTAGAGATCTTGATGGTGAACATGACTTTGTGGCCAAGTTTAAGAGCAAAGCAATTTCTGCTCTCTTACTTGAGAGCCCATATGAGAAGGTTTTCCTAAGCAAGTACTGCAATGAATATACTGCAATTTCTGCTGGCTATAAATTTGGAGGCCTCGGCTTTGTGAGTACCCTACAATTTTTATAAATTTTAACTTGATCTTTGAAATTTTCATTACATTTTGATTCACACTAATAAAAAAAAAAAAGCTATGGGAGTGCTTTAAAAGTGCTCCATATTTAGGCAGTCCCATATGTATAGAAGCGCTTTGAAAGCTCTTCTATAAGTGAGACCTACAGGAGTGCTTAGCTTTTATATGCTTCTACAAGAAATGCTCCTGTCAGTTTAATTAATTTAAAAAAAATAAAAAATTTATCAACTTTTGAAACATTTATAAATAAACCGTTCTCTTGGGTTTTGTAATTTTTTTTCCCAGAAACAAAGACTTAGTGACAAATCCACAATGGAGCCAAGATGGGTTATTGGCCCTTTGATAAAAATTATTTTTTTATTTATAAAATAATTTAAATTAGATTTTGGCCTCCATTCTTCATTTTATTTTCAATTTGGGCCCCAATTTCTAAGCTCTAGATCTGTCCCTATAGAGACCTACCAAATGCAATTTTTTTTTTTAAAAAAACACTCCTATAAATTAGCTCTTTCGGAGCACTTTCTTGCATAAATGCTCCCATAATTTCGCTTCTATTTATTTGAGTATTTTTCTTTTATATAAGCACTCCAAAAATGGCGCTTTTATATGCCTTTTTATAGTAGTGTCACAAAGTTAGATTTTGAACTCTGACTGTAACTATATAAGCAGGTATTCCAAAGAAATTCTCCCTTGGTGAAAGACTTCTCAGAAGGAATTTTAAGGCTAGCAGAAAATGGAACTCTCAAGAGTTTGGAAGACAAATGGCTGACTCCTTCCAATAATTGCTCAAGCGACTCAACATCGTCATCTTCTGAAACTGAAAGCCTAATCCTCGCTGACTTTTGGATTCTCTATGTGATAAGTGGTCTCACTTCCACCATCTTCTTGATCGTGGCTCTGCTGAGGACTTACTATCATCAAGAGAAAGAAGATCAAGGCATTAATACTATAGAAACTTCTGATGATGATGGTGTTTGGAACAAGACACTTGGGAGATTCGCCACAGGCATTTACGACAGTATTGGCAGTCTCAATTTCAACAATAATATAGGAAGAGCTGCAACCTTTGGCGGAACTCAAAATGTTCGCCATTGGAATTCTTCGCGGTGGGAGAGTGTAAGAACTTCTGATGATTATGTTAATCCTCGACGGACCCAATCAGTAGGATTAGAGATGTTATAATAATATGATATATGTACATGTCTCTTGTGTATCTCTGTATGTAATCTTATAGCTTCCACGTGTGTTAGTGTTCTGACCTATGTAGATGTGTCTTGCGTATATCTGGAGTCAAGGACATTTTAGCATTCTTTGAGAAGTAGGGCTAATTTTAGCCTGCTCCAACAAAATATATTGGAGTACTAGTTGCCAATTATATACTGAATTCATGTCATTTATTATGTAGGATGTCTGAATTTATATGATAAATAATATAACATTGGAGGATATATGAGGTTATGAATCATTTGTTTTGCTTTTTTGTTTTTAAATATCATTTGATTAGTAATTAAATTTGGAAGACAAGAATGCAAGGGGTTATCTTCTCTTCAATTTATTATAAATGTGTTATTATTGATCTTCAAAAATATAATTTAAGAAAATTAATAAGTGTTTTACAATTTAAAAATAAAAAGAAACTAATTATGAGATGTGATATTTATATAATATACATGTTTATAATTATTTTAAAATTTAAAATTTTACAAGAGTGTGTGCCTATATATATACATATTTCTTGTACATTTCTGTACACTAGTTTTTTCTTCTAAGACTTATAGTGTGTAAAATATAGTTTAGGAACATGATTTACATTTTTTAAAAATTTTGAAAAATAAAAAATTCTTGCCAGTTCAGCTGGTTAGAACTAGTTTATGCTTTCACCCTAGTACTAAATCGTACACTAAGTAATTTTTGATATCTAACCTGTTAAACCAGCCGATTGCATTTAGTTTCTTAAACATTAAATTTAGGTCATACTGTGCCATTTTTTTTTGAAACATTTAAGGCAACTTTACTTTTTTTCTATACATAAAGATGCTAATTATATTTTTTTGGAATAAAGTAATAATTATATTTTATAAATATTTCAAAGCCAACACTATCCTTTATCTCTAAAACTTATGTGACATTGATAAGTTCCCCAAAAAAAAAAAAAATTCAGGTGTCTGTTAGAAAAATAAAATGATATCAACTTAAATATAAATATATGCAAAATATAAAATTTATAATAAGTCATATTATTTATAATTATTTAATAATATAACTCTTCTCAGATTTTAAGAAAGCATGTAAGCGCAATTCCCGTTATTAGTTTTATTATCAAACTAAACTAAACTAGAACTAAGTAAATTAAAGTAAAAAAAAGATGAAACTGAAAATTATTGATAAAGTTAAATAATTAAATTGAAAACTAATAAAATCTAGGCTAGAAGATAATTATAGAATTTAAAACAAATATTAAGGAAATAAATTAAAAAATAAATTTTAAAATACTATTAAGGGAAAATAATTATTTTTTAAAAAATAAGTATGTATAGCCGAAGTTATGTCATCTGACACCTACGGTCCCTTGCATCTCCTCACATTTTTCCTTCACCAGAAGCTTCCCAGATCCCACCTTTAATTTTTTCTTCTACTACACAATTTTAGCATTCAAAGTAGCATTCTTCAACCGGAAGCCTTCACGTTCCTTATTGAAAAATCAAAACTATGCATTCAAAGTCACCAAGAATGCAACTTTGAACGTTCCCATATATCATTCCTCAATTCATATTCAAAGTTAGAGTGAGACAATTATCCATCACCATAACCTGATCTTTCCCAGAGAAACTCTTGCCTGCACCATTGTTCTTTAACAACTGAGATGAGATATATAATTATACCCAACATTTCAACGTTGTTGCTTGAACTTGCGTGTCATATGACCCACTCACAAAATTTTCCTCTTCCTTGCTCGAGTATTTTAAAGTCTGCAATTTTGTTTCCAAGAACTTCGTCTCTAACTTTGCAGTCAACAACTGCATCATTGACCAAGTAAAATATTCAAATTTTTCTACGCTTCCTCTAGAATATATCCCTAGTCTTACATTGCATGCTGTTATATAAGCCGAAGTACAAAGCTCGTTCACAAACTAACAATCCATTAATGTTTGCTTTTAGATCATTAGCCATAGATTCTGAAGATAAAATGAATTTGTTTTTTTACCTTTCCTAAAGAACTTCCAAGATTTTGGGTGTTCATTTTTCTGCTCGTATCTTTCATTTTTTTTCATAGCTATGGAGATGAGGCTACAAGAGGAGACTGTAAAGTTATACGAATTGGTGCAATTATTGATGTCAACTCTCGTGTTGGTAAAGAGCAGCAATAGCCATGGAAATTGAAGCTCAAAGTATAATGACACTTCAAAAACTCACAAACTGGCTCTTTATTTCCAGAACCCCAGTAAGGTGACCTATCTAGGTAAGAAATCTCAAGCATTTGCAAAGAAAAATACGTCAGAAAAACCTTAACATATAGGTGAACTTCTTTATAGCCTTTTGTTTTAGCGTTATATGTTTCTCTCCTGACTGTGCCAAACCTGGTTGCAGCTGAAGAATTAATTGATATGCAGAAAGTGGAAGTAATCATAGGGATGCATGCATGGCAAGAAACAGCTTTAGTGGCTGAAGTTTGAAGTCAAGCTCAAGTTCCAGTCATTTCCTTTGCATCACCTGCAATTACCCCACCATTGATGTCACGCCCTAAAAATTTAATGTAACTGGCATGGGGCACATGTACAAACCTACATCCCTAAAGCCTTGACTAAGAAAAGTTTTGGATTAATACATCTGACACATTATCAGCATGATTCTATTTATCTAATTTTACATTTTATATAAATTAAAATTTCAAACTTCTTATAAAAATTTCAGCAACACCTTGCCTAAAAGTAGAATCTCCCAAATCTTTACAACAAAACTTTTACAATATACATATAGCAATACAGGGCTTTGCTTCTTAATAATCGATAGACAATATAATAAGAGAGAATTAGGATCCTAACTATAGTCAATCTGCAGGAGCACTCTAAATCATATTTCCAAAAATACTACATAGATTCTAAAACTTACATAAAAAGAAAGATGTTCTCATAATTGATTTTTAGTCAATTCAACAATGAACCTTGTCAATGATCAGTAGGAGATACCACATTAGTTATGCTATTTGAGACCAAACAAAATGCTTTCTAGTAAATAACGTCCCAACAATATATAATTAAACATGAATAAAAAGAAAGTTTTAAAACAATTATGTAATTTAAAGAGGAAACAATTTTCATAAAAATTTAATAAACTTCAAAAATAAAAAGATTCTATAAAATTTTAAATAAAACCTTGAAACATTAAAATATCATATCAAATATTATTATCACTTGATTGTAAGGAAACAAATAAATAATTATAAATAATTTACTAATCAAGACCAATGGGATGTAAAATTATCAGATAATCAAATTCATGTTACAGGGATTTATCAGAATAATTAACAAGATACATAGTCCACGGGGGTAAATAACCAAACGTGGCTTATGCTATGAAAACAAATATGAACACACAGTTCACGAGGGTAAGTAACCAAATGCAACCTGAGCTACAAAACAAACGTGAATACAAAGTCCACAAGGGTAATGCTAAATATGTGATAACCCTTATAAAAATAAATTAATATACATATATATATATATATATATATGATAATTTGTTTATGTGTGTTTATATTAAATCCTTATACAATTATGCCAATAGAGGAAGCTGATGCAGTGGTAGTTGGGTTGGATTACTTTCATTTGGTCCCAAGTTCGAACCGTAGTGAGCCCATGGAACATTTTTCTTCCTTTGCTGATTTTCCTCATAAAATTACCAAATTACCCCTATTATAATTAGATTTTTTTTAAAATTCTTCTTTCGTTCTTCAGCAAGGATTCTGGAGCAAAAGAGAGAGAGAGTCGGTGGAGAGAGTAAGAGGAATCTTAGGTCTAGAAATTTCACTTCCTCTATATACAGCAGTCACTGGCGTTGGTGACTACCGAGGTTCCGTCCGCCGTTGCTAGTTGATTGAGTGTGTGAGTATGTGGCTTCCTTCTTCCCTGTCATGACGCCGTCTGGTGTGTATGCGGGCTTGAGTTGCAACTTGCTTCCTCCTCTGTTCTAGGTGTTATAAAAGAGCATGCTAAACCTTCTCCTTCTTCCTCCTTGAATCGTTGCTGCTTCTTTTCAGTTTTAGCTGTTATTATCGTCGGTATGCTTGCCTCTACTCCATCTGTCGTTGGTCAGTCAACTTGTGATCTTTGCACTCTGTTTTTCTTTATTTATTTCAGATTACCGAGCTCTTTCTGCCTTCTTTATCCAGGTGCATGTGTGAGTATTTAGATCTTCCTTCTCTTTATTATCACTAGTGATTATCGTTGGAAAGAGTTGGAGACTCGTGCTGCATCGATTGCTCTGGCTGTCTTTCATATTCTTTGTCTTTGTTTTTCCTCTTCATTTTTTGCTTTGGTTCTATCTGTGGCATCACCTTCGAGTAATAGCTGGGATGAGAAACCAAGTTGCCAAAGTTGCGGCAGTGTTGGTATGAGTGTGGATTATTGTTGCTGATTCATTTCCTGTGTTTCCTTACAAGTAGTGCCCAGTTTTTTGCTTCCCTGTTCTGCTGCAAGCTTCATTTTCTTCTTCTCTCTCCTTTGTTGTCCGTTGCCATCTGGGTTAAGGAGGTGAGAAATTTTGAACTCTCCTATTGTTAATCTACTGTGTCGTGAGAGTAAGAGATAAGGACATGTGTGTATTGCGTATACATGAAATGCAGAAGTAGAGTTTGTGCGTGCTACTGTTACTATTTGGTATGTGTAATCATGGCAACCTCACATTGTTCTGTCATCACTCATGCTGTTACATAGGAAGAAGAACACTGAAATTTGAGCTAGAAATTCATCTAACTTGGAAATAATATATGATATATGTGAGTTGAGGATTGGGATTTCAAAATTTATTCCCTTTGTGACTATGTGTACATGCATTAAAATAAATAAATAAATAAATAAATAAAAACAAAGAGAAGAAGAGAGGAGGAATTTCTATTTAAATGAATATTGTGGATATGCAAGGAAGCAAGATGATATTATAGATTGAGATTCTAATTAGAAATTATGGAATTAGTGATATTGCAAGCTCTCAATGAAACTGAAAATTTAGGAAGGAAAATATCAACATTAACTTAAGCAATTATGTATGTATGTTGTTTAGTAAAATACCCAGGACAAATTTTATTTATTTATTTATATTCTAATAGGGTGCGTAGAAGAAAGGGAACCTGACCAAAATTGAAAGAAAGGATATCTTTAAAAATTTTGAAGCTCCGACGAGTAAGTGAATAGCATTCCATTTAATATTTTTATTTTTATTTTAATAGCCTCTTCCTG